TAAGTATTTTTTTATATTTCTGTTTGCCTTTATATTTCTTAATTCTAAAAATCGCATACAATATGCTACAATTCTAACAAGTTTGGTAAGTGTTGACCAATTCTGTATAATGAATTCATTTTCTTCGTTTTTATTATTACATTACGATGTTAGTGTATTTTACCTATACTAATTTCTAATGAAGTCGATATGTTATTTGGTTTTACAGGTTTTACTTTCGACTTATATAGGAAATCATTTTTTTTCGCAGAAGTTCGGATGTAGAAATACCTGTAGAGGCACAAACAGCTGAATTTTGCTTAGATTGAAAATGACCCCATTGCTGTGGCTCTACTATGCTTAAAATTTCGGAAACTCTGTTTGCAATGAAAGTTTTCCATCTCCTCGGGTGACTGTTTATCCACGCTAACACTATTTCAGAGTCAGTCCAAGCAAAGATGTTAGTTTTTTCTACCTTTAGTATTTCTGCGAATTCAATTATTAATTTTGCTAGCAAGACTGCGCCACATAATTCTAATTTCAGAAGTGATATCGTTTTGATAGGGCCGACTCTTTGTCTCTGCGGTTTTTAATTAAACATGTATCTTGTCTTTGGAGTCCATTATTCTAACATACACGATGGCCGCATATGCTTATTTTGACGTGTCACGGAAGCCATGTTAGTCAATTCTCTTTTCAGATTTTTTATTCCCATCCACCTAGGTACAGAACATTCAGTCAACCTGAGGAAGTCGTTTCGGTAAGTCATCCATTCATCTTTTATGTTTACCGGTATAACGTCATCCCATCAAATTCCTATAATACAGAACTTTTGAATGCTATTGCTTGACCATTTTGAATGCTATTGCTTGATCTAGTAGCGCTATGAATTCAGCTCCTTTTTTAAGCACTGCTGTGACCAAAGCTGTATCTAACAACACTTGGCCAGTGTGCTTTTTCGAAAAACAGGCAACCATATCACCTTTTTCTTCAACTGCCTGTTCTAGATTCTTATCATCATGCTCTTGGACCTATGTGTAATAAACAGATTCATCTGTGTTTTATGGGTGCAACAAAAAATGATTTGTGCGTTTGCAAATTCTGCATGTTATTTCATTGCGGCAATACCTGGCAGAGTGATTCTGGTCCAAGCAATTAAAATACAAATTATTGTCCTGAACAAACTTACACCGAGTGTCAAAATCTTGTTTCGAAAATTGTTTACAAGAGCCCAATTTATGTACTTCCTTGCAAAATTGACACGATATAATAGTTTTCATAGCATGTAAAGATTTATTTCTATTAAAATTATTTTTAGTTACTTTGTGCGTTGAATCAAGTTCTAAAAGCTCTGTATCGACCTGTAAAAAATTCTGTAAATTGTGCAGACGTAGCTAATTTATTAGACTTGACGTTGCTAGTGACATTTATTTCCCAATCTTTTCTAGTATTAGCATTTAATATTAGTGTAAGGATATGTATTATAATTATGTCCCATGAACTTACGTTAATGCTTAAGTTTGATAAGGCACGAAAACAATCAGAGGCAGTATCCATCAACTCCTTAAGCGCTACAGATGATTCGGTTTGAATATTCTTTTGACTAAATAATCTTTTTAATACACAATGTGACAAATATTTTTTGTTGTTGTACCGTGTTTCAAGCAGATACCAACATTTGCCATAATTTCATTACGATATAGGAATATGCCTCAGCAATTGCTCGGTGTCCCCGGTCATATAGCTTTTTAAATAATGAAGTTTCTGTACTTTTAGTTATTTTATGAATGTCGGCCATTCAGTGTACTTTCCCGAAACAGTATGTACAACTCTTAGGTAATTTAACAAATCATATTGCTAATTCCTAATTAACTTCAAATTGACTTGTCAGATTGTTGATGGATATCACCTTCTAAACTAGATAAAACAGTCTTTAGTTCGCACTTTAAGTTTAAATAAACAGTCTCGGTATTATCTTACACATTATTCCTAACACATGAAGAAGAATTTAAATCGAAGAATTTAATTTACTCGACCACAGAAAAAGAATGTTTAGTTAGCTATACTCTTCGCTGTAAAAACATTCCGACCCTATATTATATATTAGGTAATAAATTTAAAATAATCACTTATCAGACTGAAGACAGACCTTTGTTCTGGCTTTTTAATGTCAAGGATCCAGGAAGTAGATTAATTCGTTGGCGCCCCAAGTAAGAGGAATATGACTACGAAATTATATATGCAATTAAAAACATAACTTGTAAAAAAAACCAAGTCTCGCAACTCAGTTCTTCTAATTTTTAACCTTTCCAGTACCTTCTACTTCTTGAGTACCAACAACGTACCTATGTACACCTTTAATACATATACAAGTACACTGGTTCATTCACTGCAAATGTAACTTTGTAATTCTATATATTTATAAGGGATTACAAAGTTATTTATGCAGTTAGTGTATCTAGAAAACTGGACAGAAATTAACAAATGTTTTAGTTTTTCCTTGATTTATACTCTAAACACTAATTGAATTCTAAATTTGAAGCTTCTATGTCTGCTAGAAGTGCCTTAGAGTTTTGATGATCGGTCAGTCAGTGAGTGACAAAATTAAGAAAGTTGAACTGGTTACAATTCTTAAACTACTGGTTCAAATTGAATGAAATTTGAAATATACCATATCTATACAATGCTTACTTGGTTACTGAAAATTCAGGCTTCTAGTTTTATTGATCACGAAGTTATAGGGGGTCGAAAATGACCTGAATTGCTTCGAGAAAAGATGGTACGGCCGTGCCGCTTTTTTGCTCGACTTGGCGGGGGCACTGCCGTGCCCCCAGATAAGCAAGGAAAGCAAAATTCAAACGCCGATGCTCTTTCTCGCATATAGTCCTTAATAAACGTAAATACGAATCATATTTTAAAAAAAATTACTAGCGCCATTTCTACAAATACTGTAATCGAAGAACATCAAGAAGCGTTACACCTCTCTAAATTAAATAATATTGTTTGTCCCGTATCCCTCGACTTTGATGAATCTATTTCATATTGTAAAAATATTCTATCTCAGTTGCAAAACTCTGAAGAGGGTCTTCAGAGTTTTGCAACTGAGATAGAATAATTCATAAAATCTCGTTAATCAACATCTTAAACATTACTTAACTAATCAACTAATTAAGCCTTCTTGGAATAACAGAAGATAGACTTAGTTATAGCTTGCTAGATAATTTAAACGATTGTAATATTTTAGTAATGATTATTCTATATGTCCTTTAGTTTCTATAATTTCTACAATAAAGAATCCATCTTGTGAAACAAAATTGTTAACCGAAGTAACGTTATCTTTACCATCTCAATGTAACTCTAAACTTTTATATGGACAAATCGATGTATGGTATAAAATAAATAATAATAATTTTATCTATATACAGTCCGAAAAATGTAAATTTAACTTATCAAATCGAAACGGATGTAATAATTATAGTTCGTGCCAAATCGATTGAGAAAAACGGACAATGACCTCAGATATGATTCGAGTCAAAAGGCGTAACTTACAAAATCTCAATTTAGATGTGATAACAATATTTAAATATTGATATTATTTACACTTCTAGGTCAGCATATGTTTTGTCTTTTTGTTTCTTAAAAAGTATTGTCTGTGGTTCCTATAAACATCGTACAATCTTATGTTACATCGCGAAAATGTGTTATATTTTATATTTCAATTTATGGTAAGTAACGCAGCATTTCATTTGATAACAGTTTCTTATTTTAAAAAAAATATCTGAAGCAATGTAATCACCATATTGAGCTGATTCAATGAGCAAATTCATCCCTTTAAAATAAACAAAACACGCGTTATGTCGTTTTAAAAGAAACGTGATAATTACAGCAAGAGATGTGTCGCCTTTTTGGGCGGGGTACCTTGCACGAAAAAATACAACTTTCAAGTTAACAGATGTTAAAAATTTACTTAAAGATGGTTTAACTCAAATCACGCCAAATAAATGGAAAAATAGTGTTCAGCATGTCCTTAAGGTTGAACAAAAAATACGTGGCATGGATGATTGAATTGACCAAACTGCAGATCGCTTTATAATTAATGTTAGTTCATCTGAATACACATCAAGTGAATGTAAGAGTGATGATTGCACCGAATAAAAATAAAGTTCTTATATAATATTGAAAATAAAGTTTAGTCTTTTGAAGAAGTACGTACTTATTCGGTGTCGTTATCACTCGAATCTTTATATGTGTTATAAATTAATGCTTTTTGTTGTTAAATAAATAAAGTACTTTATAACAATAGATGATTTTTCTTCTACAGCGATATTTTACATAACTTTTTAATAATAGTTATTAAATATATATTATATCAATCATTATAAAAAATAATTAAAAAATCATAAATAAAGAAAGTACTACATATAAAATGTGCCTATGTATTGAAGCGTTGTGATCCCTGAACTCACACTACCCTGTTCACAAGTAACCAAAAGTGTCGCATCATCTGTGAACAAAACTATTCTTAAAAATACTTGCAGTCTTACCAATAAAAATATCTAAAACATCTGTTTAACAAGTGTGTACTTATACATTGTATAAGCTTTGGGTAAGAGTTACACACGCTCTTTACCAATAACGGGTGTATAACCGTCGTATAGTTATAAACTCGCTAAAACAAAAACCATTGGCAACATTCATCAAAAACGTTTTGAAACTCAATTGTAAAATTGTAGAGACATTTTGAAAACACATAAATAGCTTATAAATTCTCTTTTTGTAATTAATGACACATAAATTTAGCCCAAAACATTGTTTAATTGAATTTAGAAATAATCTAATGTTTTTAGGCGATAAAAACTGAACATTATTTTGACAAAGCCATATTTATTATCCTCATAAGTTTATGAACGTACCTTTTTAGACAGTTTCCAATTCAATCGTTATTCGTCAATTTTGTTGTTTGGGTTTAATAATTCGTTAATAGCTACTATATTGTTAAAAACATCGCAAATTCTGTAATAATGGCTAATAGTAATTTAAACTTTGTCAAAAGAAAACGGTCTGCAAATTGGGATGCATTAGAAAAGGTAAGATAATTTACTAGAAAAAACATTTAAAACTATATATACTGTTTCTTAAATACTACTGTTTATATGGTCACACATTGTAATCTAACTTTGTATATTATCTTTCAGAGTTTATTGAAAAGTTGTATGAAGGAGTTTGTATTCGTCATAGAAAATAAAAACACTGATACAAATACTAATAAAAGTAAGACCATTGCTTGGCAGAAAGCGATGAAAAAGTTAGTAAAATACATACTACATTTTATGAATTTTGTTTCATATTTATTGTATGCAAGTTGTAGTTTAAGAAATTACATTTAAAAAAGAATATACACTCACTTACTGAGAAACAAAAGAAAGTAACATGTGCTTTGAGTAGGCATAAAATATCTGTGGACTTATGTTAAGTATAAATATGAATATAAAATCTTGCACAAAATACTAAAAAAGCTGATGGTAGTGTAAGAATATTTCATAGGCGCTTACTAATATATACAACCAAAATCAAAGCGCAGTCAAACTCCCAGTACAATAACCCCTAAGTGTTAGTTAACCAACTAGATGTGTTAAGATATTTGTTAGGTATAATTTGATAAGTTGTTAATTATTATAGTATATGTAAGATACTTTAATTTCATGTTTTTAAAATGAGTATGTTTTCATTTTAGTGTAAATATATATTTAAATATTTTTAATGTTTTATTGTTAGTTTTGTGTAAGTTTTATTAATATTGTATACATTAAACTATGCATATTGTGATTGAAACATTTTCAGTTTTAGTGAATTGAATAGCCGGGTAAGAGAATTGGCTGAAATAAAGCAATCGGCTGAAATTATGGCATCAGTGTGTGATATTCTATTTTATTTTAGCATCCAGAGGTTCAAAGTCAGGAGAAGTCCTCGGTTAATACAATAACACAAGAGTATGTTATCACTCCAGAAGATAGTAATGATAATGTGCAAGAGGTTTGTTAGTTTAAATTTGTTGATTGAATTTACTTTGATTAGTATCTTTTAAATTCTGAATGACTTTTGTTAATATTCCAGAATATTACACCACTACCTTTCAATGTGCAAAATGAAAAAGATAGAACAAAACAAAAATTATCATTCAATCGTATGAATGATAATATACACACAACCAAACGTGAGGTAAAATTTAATTTAATTTTAATAAGTAGTTTAATTTAAGTATAACCAAATTATGGGATTAGTGATTTGTGATTAATAATAACATGTTTATTAAAGGATAGAGACTTAACCAGAGAGCGCAATCATGTTCTTGTCAGTTGCGTAAAGGAAGAACATGATTTAAAAATGAAAAATATGATGGAAGCTCATAGTTTTATTAAAGAGGAACATAATTTAAAAATCCAAAAAATGTTATTGGAAAAAGAAGAAACGCAGCTTCGTGTTGAAAAACTTAAATTAGAAATTTTACTTTTAAAATCAAAATTGCCACAATAAAATATCTTTTACCTTTTTTATGTTAAATTAAATTTATTATAATGTATGTCACTTACATGGACTGTGTCTGAAATAAATTGTTTTTATTTATTTTTTATTTTATTTATTAACAAAACATTTTTGTAACTAAAAGTGTGTTTCAATGAATAATCTCCTTGTTTCTTGACCAGATCGGCTATCGAGACCTTCCTTTAGCATTTGTTGGTCACCATTATCTTCAGATATGACTGGTTCAAGAAAATCAATGCCTTCATTCATTTCAATGGCAATATTGTGTAATATTGCAAGCGCAACAATGTATAATTTTGCATTTTCCAGTGACACATTAAATCCAAGTAATAAACATCGGAACCTCTGTTTCCAAACTCCGAAACACCTTTCAATTGTATTTCTTGTCAATATATGTGATTTATTGTAAGATTCCTCCTTAGCGATACGAGGATTCTGGACTGGTGTAAACAAATAATTTGTTAAACCGTAGCCAGAATCTCCTAGTAAACGAGCATGAAATTCCCCATTTTCAAATCGTTGTCGGATTCGGCTTTCTCTAAATATTCTTGCATCATGTGTGCTGCCCCTCCAGTGTGCCACTATGTCCCTTATCTTTAATTGAGCATCACAAACTACTTGGACATTTAAGGATGAAAACCCCTTTCTGTTAATATAATATTGTGCACTATCGCCTCCGACTTTTTTAATCTTTATGTGTGTGCAATCAATAGCACCAATTGCTTGCTTAAAGCCACAAATGTTTCTAAATCCAGAAACCAGTTGTTCTTGCTCTTCTAAAGTACTAGGCATGCGTATAAATTCTGCCGCTTTACTTGTCAAAGAAAGAGCTACTCTTCGGCATATATTCGTGATGGACTGTTGGCTAAGTCCATGAATGTCTGCTGCATCATCTTGAACTTCTTGCCTAGCCCACGTTCTGAGATCAGTACATACCAGAAGTTCTACAGACAGCCCGCCACCACTAGCTTGTAGTTCAATGTCACGTTGAACTAAATCAACTATTTTTCTCATATGTACTTTACTGAATCTATATTTCATTCGAAATTCTTTATCTTGTAGAGTACAGGGATCGAAACGTTTTTTGTAAAGTTTTCTTTTTCTTGGTGGTTCCTCACGGTCGATTTCATCAAAAATATCAAAATATTGTAAATAATCCATTATTTTCAAAAACGCCACACGTCAAATAGAGGTTATACACGTCTTAAACAAAGGTTGAGAACTGTATAACGGTTGCGTAATTTTCCATACAATTTAAACACTCGTTATAACAGATGTATACAACTGAACTGTCAAATGTCGTTTATTGGTAATGTTAACGTTATAACTCTGGTATACGAGTTATAAATAGAGAACGTTATAAATCTCGTACGTCGTGTGTAAATCTTTATTAGTAAGGCCGTTGGCTTACATAAAAGATTCATTTATGTAAGCCAAGAATAACAAATAACCGGCACCGGATTCGAAACAAACGACGAATGAATCGGCTCTCTGCTGCCGAAAGGACTGCCAGAAAGAATTAGCCCAATGATAATGGCAATCGAACATTCAGGATTGAAGATAAGTGCTGATGCCATAAAAACGAAATTGTTAGCTCATGTCTAACAATTTCGTTTTTATAGCATCAGCATCATCATTCGGGATTTGAGGTTAAGTCAGAAGGCGCGTTAATTGCACAAATACAGAAACGCCACCTACAGGCGCATAGTGGCACTAGCAAAAATGAAATGAACTCGTCACCTGTCAGTAGAAATTACAATGCCAATACAACCCAGAAAAAACAAATTCGTTGCTACCATTGCAAAAAGATCGGACATTTCAAGAGCCAGTGCCGCCCATTAAATAAAGACAAACAGAAATCAACTTCGAACGTGCTGAGTGCAGTTTTTCTTGCGCTAGAGTTCAATCAAGACAACTGGTACGTCGACTCTGGCTTAAGTGCTCACATGGTGTTAAACAAGAACATGTTGACAAACATATCTTATGAGCCGAAAGTGAAAGAAATAATTGCCGCTGATCGCACCAAAGTTTCAGTGTTGTGCTCCGGAAATCTTCGGCTTACTACGTGAGTGAAAACAATCACACATGAAGTAGAAATAAAGAATGTTTTGTGCATACCAACACTCACCACAAATTTGTTTTCAGTCAGCAGAATGATCGCAAATGGTAACGAAGTATCCTTCAATAAAGATGGATGTTACACCTACAACACTCAGAATGTTTGTATCGGTGAAGCGAGCTTGGAAAATGAAGTGTACAAATTAAACATTGAAAGGTCGAAGCAGCTTTTAGCGGCAATTGCACAGACCTTATGCAACACTTGGTACAGACGATTGGGTCATATAAATATGAATGACCTTGAGAAAATAAAAAAGGAGTAGTCAAAGGTCTAACTTACCAGAAAGAACAGAATATAAGCAAATTAAGTTGTTGAATAAAAAAAAAAGGTAGCCGGACTAACTATGACATTGGGACGTCAAACATCTCAGTCCCCCCACGTGATCATGGTTGCTGTAAAGCACCCGAAACGTCGGGAATTAAAAATAAGTAAAAGTAGTGAAATAAACGCGATAAAATCCGTAAATTTAGTTTTTATTCAATGTGTAGTGTTCGCGTAAATTTAAGAAATCATTAAATTAAGTTGTGTAGTTTGCTGCGAAGGCAAACAAAGCAGGCTGCCTTTCTCTAGTAATACCAAAGCCTTGCTTACTTCTCCCATAAATCCAAAATTCTACAAGCGGTACGTAGACGACACTTTCACAATTCTACCTTTAGATAAAGTAACTGCATTCGTAGACCATCTTAACTCTATAAATTCTAAAATTCAGTTCACAATGGAGTTAGAGGCAAACAATTCTTTAGCTTGTCTTGATGAATTCGGAGTCCTGATAACACCTTGAGCCACACTATGTATAGAAGGAAGACTCATACAGATAGATATTCAAACGGTGATTCTCACCATCATCTTTCACAGTTAGCTACCGTGGATAAATCTTTGTTTCAGAGAACACAAGGGATCTGTGACAGTAAACACTTGGCTGCCGAGCTCCAACATGTCAAGCAAGTTTTGCATGACAATAAGCTCCGGATCCCGCGCCTACGTCACAGTGAACGAGTTAAGCCGGCCACAGTCGAGCGCGTACCTGCTGTACTACCATATGTTAGAGGAGTCACTGACAAGATTGGCTACATCTTGAAGCGCGCTTCCATTAAAACACACTTCAAGCCGCCGAAGGAGATTGGTCAGTTTTTCACCACACCGATTCCTTCAAAAGATGATTCGCGAGGCTATTGAAATCAAAAAACATCCTAATTTCAATAGAAAAGGTGGCTGGGTGGGATCCTAGGATTAATAAAATTAAATTCTAACCCAAGCGTACAACTACAAGACTTCAAGATACTATAAGTTCATACTGCATAGATCAGAACAAAAATTACTAATTTTAATCTATGGTAACCGCGGTTAAATATGTCATAATATCTGGACGTCGAACATCTCGGACCCCCGTTACCATGAGTGCTGTAAAGTGCTCGAAACTACGGGTATATAAAAAAGTTAATATACGCGATAAAATCCGTAAAAACTAGTATTATTTATACAAGCACATTGTTGCTCACAATCATAGTTGCCTTCACTTCTCTTATAAAAACGCTTTTAGTTGCCCCTCTATATATCTCGTCAATACCCAAACATATCTCAGAATGCAGATCGATGGTAAGTTAAGGCCATACCTCTAGCGAACGACCTTGAGCGTTCAGCTGCCGACGCTCGCTACAATATATCGCGTAAGAAATTGCCACCTACTGGTACGAACGTAGTATTAATTTTTCAATGTCAATGAACTATTTTATGGAAATAGGCACGGCATACAATGATAAATGTATTTTAATTTTCTTTATTCGGTATATTAGTTGCATTATATTAGAATTATGTATTCTCATATATTATCTAATTAATAAAAATGACTATTTTGATTATTTTTAACTATATACTATATTGCTAAAATTGAATTAGCTTTTTGTAGTGTAAATTATATTTGTCGAAATGTTAATGGTGCTTCATTTTTGTTATTTTCATTTACTTACATATTGAAAATATACTTGAATAGTAGGTATTATTATTTAATTTAGCTACTGAATTTTAGGATATGTTTTACCTTGAGGTCAAATATAATTTTGAGGAGCAATAGTTATTACATACTAATCTTTTATCTGCTATTCCTTATTTAGGAACAATTTTAGTAAATTGAGTTTGAGGGAGATTTACTGTTTATTAAATTATAATAAATTATTAAAATAATAAATATAGCATTAGTAACTAAATAGATATTTTTTACCCAATTACAATAACTAATGAGATATTGTGATTATTTGTGATTAGTAATACTGGGTGGGTATTAATAAATAGAACAAAATAAAATATAAAGTCAATTTTATTATCTTGAATGTAAGAAATTGATTACAAATTTTTTAACTTCCTTAAATTATAAACAAACAGCTGCAGCTGAACAATTTAAGCTGAAAAATTTAAATGAACACATATGTGCATACATACGCCCATAGATATAAGTGGTTATATATATATATATATATATATATATATATATATATATAAATATATGGTGTGTGTGTGTGTATATACAGTGTGTAAGTGTAAACACCGTTGTCACTGAAACCATAGGTGGTTGGCTTTCATATAAAAATATTTATCCGATTTTTTTTTTAAAAAACGCTATTTTCTTTTATAAAATTAAAAAAGTTTCTGTCAGACACCGTCCGTAAATTCATGGATACCCTATGCGCTCGAGTGACGTAATCACTGTAAAGATCACCGCCCGCCCTTGCTACCTACACAACATTTCAATATAAACACAATGGTACACATAACCTATTGTGACGGCCCAATATTATTATTAATAATTAAATTCAATATAAAGGGGCGTCAAAATAGTCTTAAAAGATATATATTAAACAATAAAATTACATTAATA